CAACATTTTTGTATGGACCCGGGTGGTTTCATGAAACCAGGGCCAGTTCACCGGTTTTCTGGTTAAACCAGCCAGTCATCCAGTTTTCACCAAGTTCTGAGCAATTCCGGTTAGTGGGGTGTAACCAAACTGGTCGGTCCCCCAGGTCACAGTTCAAATGGTTTGATCAGCCAGTCTGGTCCAGTTTTCTATACACTGGTTGCTACACATGGGTATGGAGCCTAGCCCAGCATCACAATCAGCCCAGCCAGGCCAGTTTCCAGAAGGTCAGAACCAACTCAAGCAAGTGTTGGTCGATTTTGGAGATGTTTTTCAAGAGCCACAACAGCTACCACGACATTGTTTCCATGATCATCATATTCAGATTGTTCCAGGAGCACCATCAGTGAATGTGAAAGCATCTTGTTATCCATAAGTCTAGAAAGAAGAAATTGGAAAACAGGTTAAACAATTGCTCCAAAAACAATTTGTTCAGCCCATTCTCCTCATCAGTGCTTCTTGTCAAAAAGAAAGATGGCATGTGGCAATTTTGCATTAAGTGTCGAGCACTCAACAAAATAACCATGATGGGAAGTTTTCCAATCCCCATCATTGAAGAGCTCTTGGATGAACTAAGGTCAGCAACAATGTTCTCTGAATTGAATCTTAGGTCCGGATACCATCAAGTAAGGATGAATTTTTAGTGATGCCATTTGGACTCACCAATGTGCCATCTACCTTCCAAGCACTAATGAACAAGGTATTTTACCCCTTTCTCCGCCAATTCATCTTAGTATTTTTTGATGATATCCCAATATATATTCTTGATTAGCGCTTTCGTCTTCATCATCTCACCATTGCTTTCTATCTTTTGTGAGACCACAATCTCTATGCTAAGGCCTCAAAATGTGAGTTTGGTGAAACCCAAATCCATTACTCGGGCCATGTAATTATCAATGGTACAGTAATGGTAGATCCAACAAAACTGGAGTGCATACAGCAATGGCCACAACCTACTTCAGCAAAATGTTTGAGGGCATTCTTGGGCCTCACAAGATGCTATAGACAGTTTATTAAAAATTATGGGATGTTAGCAGCCCCATTGGCCCAACTCTTAAAGGACTCCTTTTCATGGTCAATAAAATCCCAAGAAGACTTTGATAACCTGAAAACTGCTGTACACCCCCTGGAACTAGCTCTAACAAACTTTTGCAAGTCCTTTGTACGAGAATGTGATGCATCAGGGGGAGGTATAGGAGTGGTGCTAATGCAGGAAAACAGGTCCATTGCCTACTTCAGCAAGGCCCTCTCAGGACGGGCCTGTGCAAAATTAGTTTATGAGAAGGAGATTATGGCATTTTGACAGCTGTACATTCTTATGTATAGAAACAATACCATTTTCAGCAATGGAAGAGAATGATCAGCCAATAATTCTTTTTCTTTCCTACCAAAACATTAGAACAAGTAGGGAAATAAAAGAAAAAAAAAAGCTGAGAAAATATTGATCATGTGGTTTGAATCAGATCACACTCCCTAGGTGCACACGTGAGGCGCATTTTAGGGTATGCACCTTGCCTAGGTCCCAGGTGTAGGATGCAAACGGATCGGATCGGATTCGAATCAGGTTTTATCCGAATCCGATCCAACATTGTTCATATTGGATCCGATCCGTTCAGATCTGATATGCCACGATTTGAACTCGAATCCTATCGGTAAGTTGGACCTTCAGATCTGATCCGATCCGACTTGTTTTCTTTAAAAATTTAATAAATTATTAAAATGAAAATAAAATATACCAATTTAAATAAATAAAAAACAAAAAATATAAGTTTTTTTTTAATTATTTTCATCATATATATACATGTTTTTTATAAATAAATAAATAAATAATATAACAAATTTATAAAATACAATATAAATAATATATTTATAAATAAATAAATAACATATATATATATACGTATTATATATATATATATATGTATATATTTATATTTATAAATATATAACATATATCGGATTGGATAGGGGGGTGATTCGAATTTGATCAAATAGGATCAGATCTCGGATCAAATTGGATCATGATCTGATTCATTTGCACCCCTAGGTGTAGTACTATCAAAAGGTGTGTATCTAGTGTGCCTAGTTAGCCTTATGCTTCAGCCCTTGGCTTATGGTTAGAAGATAAGCCAAGGGCTATGCCCTCTGGCCCCCGACCAGGCTCCTCAAGGCAAGCCCAAACATGTCCATATTAAGATCTTAAATTCTTAATTCCTAGAAAAAAGTCTTTATAACTTTAAGTATCTTTTAAAATTATCTTTTATTCTGATGAATGAATGAGCAACATTAACAAATATGGAGTTTTTGGAGCTTTGGTGAGCGAGCAAAGGGGCTTGGTACAAAGGTGGCTTGCAGAATTAGGAATTCATAATGTTTAAGTTTTCCTTTTAAGTATCTTTTAAAGTTACATGCTTGAATGTTGTATTTAATATTTTTAAGTTTTCATTTTAAATATGTTTTATATGTTGTATTTAATATTTTTAATACTTCGCATTTTTTTAAATTTTTTGCCTTTTTTGAACATTTTACTATCTTTTGCTTTTTTGCATCTTGCTTCAAAATGGCACACGCCTCGCCTTGCGCCTTACACCTTGGGTGCAAAATGGCCCTTTCACTTTTTTTGCACCTTGCACTTTTAAAACACTGGATACACAAATACTTGAGTGGGCAAATTCTAATGTGGTGGAGCTCTCCTGTCAGAACTCTTTCTATCATGGAATTTCCAGCTTCCCCTTCAAAATAGTATCTATCCTGTTCTAACCTCTGGGTATAAATACTTTACGAGGAACACCTTGAGATGATGGAGTAGGACCAAATGTAGTGGAAAATTATGTGGTTGATCCATTATTGATTGTAGTGTTCTTTACATTCTAATTAAATCTGGTACAGATGTCCACGAAGCCTCCAACAATGATCCCTATTGTGTCCCTCAAACAATTTACTTTTCTTATCCACCTTGTCTCCTTTGTCTCTGGTATATCTTTATAGGGAATTGAGTTCTCTTAAACCATAATCTGGAACTGTCGAGGTAAATATGATTAGGAAAATATCGGACCTTCGAAATTTAACCAAATCAGGTGGTTGAATAATCTCTGGATCCGGGAAAAGAAAATGAACAAATGCCTTCCATTCTTTTATCACAAAAAATTGTCCATGTTATCCTCCAAATGAACATGGAAGTGCACAAGGGCAGCAGTGATATGGACACTATGGAAGAAAGGAATCTAAGGATCTTTGAGGAAAAGAGAACTAAAGAATCGTTGATAGAAGGTATTATGGTGAAGGTGATTCATTGGGTAAAATCACTAAAATTATTCTTAGATTTAAGGTTTGATGATATAAGAAGGGAGTGGGCATAATTGCAGCTTCTTCATCTTCAAAAAGGAAGGTTTCTAGTACCTGGGACCCACCTGAGAATGGCAGTAGCTTTGGCAATCCAGGTCCCTCTGGAAAGGAGTTATAAGGAAAGATAGTCGAGCTATTTTAGGCCTGTTTTCAGGGCCTATTGGGGAAGGGCACTCTACAACAGCAGAGTTAAAGGCAGTAAGGCAGTGTTGTATGGACTACAAAAAGCTGGGGAACTGGGGGTAAGGAAGTTGATAGTAGAAGGAGATGCAAAAGTAATCCTGAGTTGGTTGAACCAGACTGAAAAGACTCCCTGGTACTTCAGAAATGGATTCAAAAAGCTGAGGAGAATTGCAAGGGATATGCAGCTAGTATTCCATTGGACCCCAAGGTCAGTCAACAGTCTGGCAGATCAACTAGCAAAGCAAGGGCCAAGGGGTTAGCAGAGAACAGTTCTTCTGGGCAACTTTTTAAAGCTGAAAAGAGAAAACTTTTTATGTTTTCTGTTAAGTTGTTTGGGGTAGCTGAGGCTACCTATAATCTGTATTACTCTTCTATTATTAATAAAATTTCGTGTTGCTGATTAAAAAAAAAAAGAAGAAACTTTATGAGGAACACCTTGAGATGATGGAGTGGGACCAAATGTAGTGGAAACTTATGTGGTTGATCCATTAATGATTGTAGTGTTCTTTACATTTTAGTTAAATCTGGTACAGATGTCCACGAAGCCTCCAACAATGATCCCTATCGTGTCCCCCAAACAATTTAGTGCACTAACTTTTCTTATCCACCTTGTCTCCTTTGCCTCTGGTATCTTTATAGGGAATTGAGTCCTCTCTTAAACCATAATCTGGAACTGTCAAGGTAGAAAAAAAGCAACCCAACCTTCAGAAACAGACCTTAAAGAGGGTGGGGCAGTAAATATGATTAGGAAAATATTAGACCTTCGAAATTTAACCAAATCAGGTGATTGAATAATCTATGAATTCAGGAAAAGAAAACGAACCAAATGCCTTCCATTTTTTGTCCATGTTATCCTCCAAATGAACAAAAAAGAAAAAAAATGGCAGACTACAATAAATGCTTTCGGAAGAAATTCTTCAAGAATCAGTAGATTTTCTCCGACCTGATCAAAATCACTTCCAAAAAACCCGAACTTCTTGTTCTCTTGGCTCCCATACAGTCCAAACCAATTTTTCTAAAAGGAATTTCAGTTGCTACCATTGTCTGTGAAGTTCTTGAGCATTTGAATCCTAAGGTGGACTCCTAGATCCCGTGTTGATAAAGTTTTGCTGCCACAACAGAGCACTGGTTTTGTCATTCAGTGCTCGGTGAGTTTCCAATTAAATTGGAATGATATCTCAATGGAATGGGAACATGGGATGGTTGGGATCATCAAGACATCAAGTTCACATGATTCTTGCCAAGATGTAACATTAATTGAATTGATTTCAAATTAGTGCTTGGTGGAAGTTACTTTAATATCAAATGTACCGAATACTTAAATACGATGGTTGTATTTATGCTGGAGTTTTTGGTATTGCTTTTAAAAATATTGCAATTAAATAACTAAATGCTGACCTTTATCCTGTTTTGGGTTCTATGCTAATGGACAGGGTGTTCCAAATGTTAAAGCCATACACTCATCTAAGGCCGTAGGGGAGCCACCATTCTTTCTTGCTTCATCAGTTTTTTTCGCCATAAAAGACGCAATAATAGCTGCAAGAAGAGAGGTTGGATGTAATGACTGGTTTCCACTTGATAATCCGGCAACCCCTGAAAGGATTCGGATGGCTTGTACAGATGAATTCACCAAACCATTTGTTGGTTCAGAATTCCGCCCTAAGCTTAGCGTGTGACTCATTCTTAATTCTTTTCTTTGTCTCTATCCCGTTTCTATGTGAAACTCGAACATGTGCTTCAAAGTTCAAACATGTACATTCTTTAACTATAGAATTCCACCTTGTAACTTATTCTGTATAAAAATTAAAATGATATCAATATAATTGCAATCTTGATTTATATACGAAACTCTGTCATTATTGAATAAATGCGAATGCCTTTATGTAATGCTGTGCTAAACTGCTAATTGTTCGTGCAACTATTGATTTATATACAAAATTCAGCTCTGCTTTAATCTGGAACTATTGATTTATATACAAAACTCAGCTCTGCTTTAATCCAAATCATTTGGTGTTGTCTACACCCTACATGAATCCTGCCTTGCCATTGTGCTCTAATATGTAAATGTTCGATGAGGGGGATGTCTAGTAGTTTGTGAGTTTACACGTAAGAGAGAATAGTTTGTTCTCTACATTGGTTAGGCAATACCTTCATAACACTTGGGCGATGTAAGACGTATAACATTCACTATCGTGTGTATTGAGTGCGTGCTGTCCCATGTCCCATGTTGCTTAGGAGTTGGAATGAAGGTTTTGCTTTTTAAGTATCAGACATGTATGAGCATATCCAAAATATTGCAATGTACTATGAATATCAGACATGTATCAGTTTTGTAACCCAAACCCAATGATACACTAAGGCCCTGTTCGTTTTTCAGCGGGTAAATGCAGTTATTTGGGCAAGTTTTTTCTGAGAAATATTTATCCGGTTTAGTGTATTTCTTTATGTTTTTTTATTTTTCATGTAAATAAGCAATGACCATTTTAACCATAAAAATCCATTATTAAAAGGGGTAAGTGCTACCCAAGAAAATAAACTTTTCTTGGTCCTCACATAAATCTGAAAAAAGAACATGGGATTCTTGGTCAATGAGAACCAAAATCTCATAGACCAACTTTCTCCCCTCTCAAAACCGGGAAAAAGAACACCCCCTAAAACTGACAGTTCACTTCTTTTATTTGTAAACAAGAGAATCAGAGTTTCGATTGTTTGAACTGGATACTTTGAAGTTGTAAACTTGTAATTTATTCCATGGGCCCAATGCCATTCCAAACCCTGCCCACCCTGGGCCTAACAATATTTTTTTCATCTATTATTTATTATATATCATGCCCAGCCCGACCCAGTCTGGGCCCATATGAGTCGTGGGCCTGGGCTATAACTCTTATCATAGGTGCTAGGCCCGGTCCATGATCACTCCTAGTTACATGTCCCACATTGCCAAAGTAGTAGCCCTGAGTGCCATGTACAATGGTAGTCAGTAGTCTGACCTTCAGATTCCGTTGCTCCCTTTTATGAATCTTGTTCATATTAGCCATTGGTATGGCATTTTTTTTTTTCTGGCTAAGCGGGACAGTATCAATTCCTTAGCCTCTGTTGTTTACACATGTTCCTTTGGATGATGCTATGGTGATAATAAAAAGACCATTTTATCTGTAAGACACCAATATCATTTAGGAGGAGAATAAGGGCTTAAATTTCATAGTGGGAGTTTTGTAGACCAAACATTTTCATTCTCTCGGTCGGCATCAATGGTAATGGATTAAATTGTTAATTTGTCTATCATTATTTATTTGTGGAAAATCTATAATGCCAGAAAGACTGGAAGGGCTTTGACGAATTGAAACCCGCATGAATTTTGATAAATACCACCTGATTGGTTACCATTTTGATGATATTGATTCATTGATTATAAGCTTTTCCGGTATGATAGTCAAAGTTTGACTTGATTAAGGAGATATTTGGCCCACCAATGAAAAAAGGTGGTCATTGACCCATCAGTTCAACTGGCTGGCTAGCTAAATAAAGATCAGCACATCGTATGATATGCATGTTCCTAGAGCAATAGTTTCAGCTGGCTGCAAATACAGGGCGGATGATTGGTTACATGGGCTGTTATCACATGTTATGGAACACTGGCATGTTCATTCAAGTATCTAAACTAGCAATGAGTATGGAAGAAAGAGAAAAGAAAAAAAAAAAAAGAGATTCAATGACTTAGTGCGTATTCTACATCATAAATGTTTTTTGTATTCATTTGTTTTTAAAACAACTGTCATAGAAAAAAAATAAAATATATTCTAAAACTGTGTTTTTATATCCCACGCAAAGATTTAGTTTTACTTCAAGAAAATTATGTTTTTGAGACCATCAAAATAATAATTTTAAAAACAAAACAAAATTTTCTGTCCAGATATTATATGCTTTTTGAAACATGATATTAAATTGTCAGATGAAAGCATTGTTTTTAAAGCAGAATATCAGAAACATATATTCTTTTTTTTTTCAAATGTAGAAATAAAAAGCATAAATATATATATATATATATATAACCAAAAAAGTGTGATTTATTTTAACTCAATTTGTTTTCAAACAACATGGCTATCATTTGTTTTTAAAACTCATAACATGGGTTGTGTTTAGAATGCCCTCTTCTTTTCTCTTGTTTTGTTAATCCTAAACTCTAAATTTTACTCCAGGGTGAAGGGGCAGTCACCTTAAAATTTTATTAATCATTGTCAAAAAAGGAGATGCAAAGGTACAGAGGATGAGATAGCTAGCCTTGCTTCATGCCTTCTTGAGTTCTTGGTGAATCCATAGGCTAGGTTTGGCATAAAGCTTCGTTTGAAACGATGTGGTAGAAAGCAACGTGCGACTTGAAGGACATAATCGGCTGTGGATTCTTACATCCACCATTTTATATAKGAATGAAGGTGCTCTTGGCTCGACATAGTTTGTTCTGTTCCACTAGAATCCCGATTTTGGGGGGTTGTAAATAGTACATGATGGAGCTCGAGCAGAAAGTAAGTA